TTGTCTTAAACCCTATCAAAGGAAGATTGCATTAATAGAAGGGATAACTTACATAGTATTTCTAAAAAAGCAGTCCAATAGGTAAGAATTTTCTCCTGTTGAAGGAAGAGTGTGCCCCAATGTGAGAACAACAACATGTAATCTGTAGAGATGGATATGCAGCCAGATAAAACTGATAAAGGAGATCCATCAGCTTTCCTTGCTCTGGCTCCAGGCTGACCCAGCAAACACCTATCTAGCTTGTCATAAGGGAAAGAGTACACCATCAGCTCACCTGAGCATTCCAAGCCCCATGATTATTGGCATCCGGTTTTATGTGTCAGCTTCTTGTGAGTTTGTTAGCATGAAAAGAGTCCCAGAGAATCTGATTACATTGGGAGGCCCTTACAAAAAGCTCCTTGGCATATGAAGCCTGAAGATTAGATCCTGGAACACAGTGTCCATATCAACGTACTGCTATTCTAGAAAGTCTTATCTAGACAGTCCTCTGGTTTACCATCTCTTAGGTCACATTCCCTTCACATCCTCTGAGGTTCACAGGTGCAATGATAATACATTAATTCCATTTCAGTTTTTTCAATTTATTGACAAAGCCTCTATGGCCAAAGTGAAGAGTTGGCAATCACAGTTGCCAATTTAAGTATTTTCCAATAGACTCCCAACTTTCTCTCCATTAACTGGTAAATGAACACAATACACAGGTTTTTTGTGGGGTTTTTTGCCTGGATTATCTGGTTATATTGGACAGTATTTTACATATAAATTCTTTTCATAGTCTACTTCATTTTAGGCAAAGCAAAAGATATTGCCACCCCACAGAGAATTTCAAGATTGTTGTGGAGGCATTCTGTAGAACTTGCCAAATTAGGACATACTGGCAATTTTGAAAATAATCCAATATGTTGATGTGGAAAGACTATGCATATAAATTCTTTAATTATCTCTCCTTTTGGCTAAATTTTAGTTCTGTGATGTGAGAGTGGGTCTGCATCTTGCACTGTTGCCATAATATTGGATGGCAGTTCCACTTGGCTCCTTTCTCGGCCTGAGTTCAGAGCAATATGGCAGTTCTGTGATGTGGACACAGTTTCTATGCTAAAGCCATCCATTTTAATAAAGTGAAGGTCTAGCCCATTGAGCCTAGTTGAATACAGCTATTGCACTGATCTCTTCTGATGCTACAGCCGTTGAGTTTATTTCCTTAATCACATTTTCCATACGGGTGAAAGCATGAAGCTGCTTGGTATCTTCCAGAGTGCATGCATTCTAATTTCAGAATTTAATCAAATGGAACTGGCTTCCTGACAGAGTAAACAGAGCAAAATACTGTATCCAGACCAGCTGCCAAGCTAGCAGCCTGAATTTATTTTTCCTTGCTTTGCTAAATGCATCTTGAATTTTTGAAAACATAGTCCAGGTTCAGGAAATTTAGCATTTTTGAACCAAGACCAGTCAGCTCTAATATTCTTCCATAAATACATCCATTAAATTTCAAAAGTCAGGTAGCTGAGTTAATCTTTTCTCACATGTCTGTGGCCAGAGAAGAAAACATATCCCTCCTTTCTGCTGAACGCAAGGACTGTGTACATAGCCCTTCCATCTGGGCTAATCTAATAATAAGGAATGCCTGTAAATATCTATACATTTTTTTTTTCTGATTACTACCTCTGTACTTCTTATTTGATTCTTGTAACATAACTCATATCTGAAATCTTTCCAGGTATTTTCAGTGCCACTTTTTATATATCGTTCCATATATAAATATCAAAGCTTTATTTATACTACAGACTCAATATAGCAACCAGGACACAGAGAGAAATAAAAGAGTCAGCTGGGTAGACTACTATTGCTCAAGCCATTTGCCTTGTGAAAGAGGGCTTGAGGAGGCACAGAATTTATTACCAATTCCTTTGTTACTGCTAATGCAAATTTATCCATCTGCAAAACAGACTCTTGTAGTATGTGTGTCTTTTATTGACCACAGATATTTTGTTTTAGTATCCTTTAACACCACACCAGGGATGGCTTTTATCATTTACTCAGGAGATACTTAGAAATGTACGTAGCCTCAAATCAAATGGATACCACTGTCCACAAGAAGTTATTTACACCTTAACTTCCTACAGGCTCTGGAATTCCCTGCCACCCCTACCCCAGTTCAGATCCTCAGTTCCTTTTCCAGGCTAACTCCTGATCATGTGTCCACATTCAACTCAGCTATCACTTCCTCCCAGAAGCCTTTCTTGCTCTCTTCTCTTTGGTTTCACACTCTTTCTTGGTTTCACATCCCATCCATATGCTAAGGACTCCCAAATTTAAATCTCCAGTTCAGCTCTCTTCTGAGCTTCAGACATGTATGTATAATTGTTTGCTCAAAAGCTCCACTTGGATGGCATCTTAAACTAAACATGCCCAAACCAATCTCATCACCCCTCCTTCAAAGAACCCAAACCTAGCACTAATGTTGAATTATTTATCTATTGCTGTGAAACAAATTACCACACAATCTAGCGGCTTTAAACAACAATACATATTATCTCAGAGTTTCTGTGGGTCAGGAATTAGGCAATAGCTTGGCTAGCTGATTCTGGCTCAAAGTCTCTCATGAGTTTGCAGGCAAGATGTTGAGCAGAGCTGCAGTCAATCGAGGGCTTGAATGGGGATGGAAGATCCCACTTCCGGGGTGTTTCACTCATATGGCCTGCCAGTTGGTGCTGTCTGTTGGTAGGAGACCTCAGTTCCTCCCTACGTGGACCTCTTCACAGCGCTCTGGAGAGCTGCTTGAGTGTCCTCATGACATAGTGGCTGGCTCCCTCCAGAGCAGCTGACCCAAAAGGAGGATGCTGTAATGCCTTTCCTGACTCAGCCTCATAAGGCAAACACTGGCACTTTCTCAGTATTCTATTGGCTATACAGGCTAGTCATGATTCATTGTAAAAGGGTATTCCACAAGGGTGTGAGTACCAGGAGACAAAGATCACTGGGGCCATCTTGGTGGCTGGTTACCAGCACTGTCTATCCAGTTGCTCACATCGGAAACCTGAGAGTCATCTTTGACACCTTCTCTCTAACATCTTTAGTCAATACCAAGTCTAGTCTACCTCATCTCTGCTTTGACTTTGTCTTCTGTTATCACTCCAGTCCAAGCCTCATAACTGTACTACAACAGGCTCTAAGCTGTCCTCTCTAGTCCTACCCTTGTGCCTCTCCAACCCATTTTCCACACAGATAGCAGCCATCTTTTAAGAATATAAATCTCACTGGGGCGCCTGGGTGGCTCAGTTGGTTAAGCGACTGCCTTCGGCTCAGGTCGTGATCCTGGAGTCCTGCATCGGGCTCCCTGCTCGGCGGGGAGTCTGCTTCTCCCTCTGACCCTCCTCCCCCTCATGCTGTCTCTCATTCTCTCTCTCTCAAATAAATAAATAAAATCTTTTAAAAAAAAAAAGAATATAAATCTCATCATATAACTCTCCAACTTAAATACTCTTTAATCATTTCCTGTTGAATGGACCAGGTGTACAAACCTGGTCAAGTTAACAACCATGTTGAGACTTAGTTGCTTCCTCTGTAAAATGGTTATAAAAATAGCTACCCCATGGAGTTATAGTGAGGATCAAATGAGACAAAATCTGTGATCAGAGAAGAGTGCCTGAAAGGGAACCAGCGCTCAGTCTGTTGACAAATACAACGCCTCTGGTTGACGCCTCCTGGCATCCGGAGGAGACGTCTTTCTGGGAGGAGAGGGTTAGCTCAGTGCGTTGGGGAGGTTTGGTGACCTGTACCTTCTCTGACAGAAGATTCTCAGTCACCATCTCCTGGGGCGGGTAGAAGAGCAGAAACGAGAACGTAACCGTGGGAACACGTGGAGTTGATGGCCTGGTCTAGCTGTGGCAACAAGGCTTCATGGCAGTGCACAATCTCCAAACCATAGGCTTTATGACTTACAGGGGTCAAGAACCCCTTTGCGAGTCTGCTGAAAGAGACTGACAATCTACCCAGGAAAAAAAAACAAAACAAAACACAGAGTGGTATGCATGCAAAATGTGGCAAGTCATTTCAGGGAGGCTGGGAGTCTCGGGAGAGTTCCTGCTTCAAACACAGAGCCCCTTCCCTAGTGAGCAAATTCAAAGGCTATTTTACAACACACAGATGTCGGACAGGGAATTACCACATGATACATAGGACTATTTCAGGTTTTGCTCTACGGATCATAAAACCTAATTAAAACTTTATTTAAAAAATTTAAGGGGGCGCCTGGATGGCTCAGGCGGTTAGGCGACTGCCTTCGGCTCAGGTCATGATCCTGGAGTCCCGGGATCGAGTCCCGCATCGGGCTCCCTGCTCAGTGGGGAGCCTGCTTCTCCCTCTGACCCTCCCCCTCTCATGCTCTCTCTCTATCTCATTCTCTCTCTCAAATAAATAAATAAAATCTTTTTAAAAAATTTAATAAAACTTTCTCTTTCAAAAGATTGTATATTTTGAAGGTATAATTTAGCTTACAGACTAAGACACATCCTATCTCACTCATGTACTCCTGTTCATACTTTGTCCCTCCTTTCGACATTGATATCTTCTTTAGTCAAAAAATGTAGTGAAGTGGCCCAAATCGGTGCCAAATATTGGCCCGTTGGGAATCACATAGTTTACCTTAAAGACCAGACCCAATGAAAATTCAAGTGCACGCCGATTTAAGAAAGTTCCAATAGAGTTATTTAGAAGTTTAAAAAAAAATTTTAATGTATTTATTTTATTTTCTAAATAAACAAATTAATTAGCACGTTCCATTCTCTTCTGCAGGTTGGCATGTTATAGTTTAGAGTAAGTGCGGGAGTAACTTCATTACCAGCAGTCTGTCCCTCTGACGTTCTCATTGATGAGATCCCACTCGGACTACAGCATCTCACTGCATGGCAGCCAAGAACTGAGGGCGAGTGTGTGATCGCTTCTGTGTATTTTGCAGTGGAAGCAGTCTTGGACCATACCTCAAGAAGCCACCGTGTTATTTGTCAGAATGTTACTACCCCCTCCAAATTCTTTATCTTGAGGATGTTGGAAAATGAGGGAAGTTAATCAGTATGATGCCAGGTACTCACATGCCACGTGCTTAACACGTGCTATATCTTTTCATTATTACCCCAATGTTACCGAAAAACCCAAGTTCAGCTGCCTGTGGCACGAAAAGCCAATACTCAAGAAATGAGTTTGTTTGTTTGTTGTATAAAACATTTAATTTGTTGGTCTTTTTGGGGTATTTGATGTATTACAACTGAACCATTAATCTTGTCGATTCATCAACATTAACTGGTTCGTTTTCATGACACTGCTGAGGAATCAGCTGTTTCTGCAAAGGTTCAAGGGAAAGGCCTTTTGAGAAATGGGCAAGTTCCTTTTGTATATCTACAGAAGCTTTATTCATCCTGTTAACTTTTTCATCATTCACAATGTTTATCTTCTTAAGATTAGTGGTAACTGGTTTTGCTTTGTTTTTAGACTTAAAGTTTTTTTGGCTGGCTATATGAAATACATTCCTGGACTTCTGCCCTCTTAGTTTGTTCTTGGCCATTGTCTTCAACACCCTTGTGCAGCAACTCATGCTCCGGGTGACGCCATCTACCTCAAGAGATGAGTTTTGATTGGAAAAGATGGGCTTTACGCAGGAGGCCAGCCACCTGGGGAGAAAGGCAGACTCTTGTCCAAAAACCAACTCCGAGGTTTCTGCCTGGCCCAAAGATATTTTTAAAGGAACATTAGGGCAGTGAATCAGTAAAAGGGGAGCGCAGCGGTCTGTAACACTTCTTGATTGCATGCAGACTCTAGGGTACCAGTTACGGACCTTATCTCAGCGCTTGGAGGTTGTGTATTGGTGTCGAGGGGGAGGTTGCGCCAGAGGGTTTGGTTCTGAGTCTTTCCAGGAAACACTGCATGATCTGTAAATTTACAAAGAAAGCAATCATGGCACTATAATCATGCTTGCTAATAAAGACTACTAAGATGGCCAGACGGGTCAAGGCAGTGGCTTCACCAAGCCCATGAGAAAGGGGTCTTGATCTTCGTTTTACAGAGCAAGAAACTGAGTCGTGCAGGCATCAGTTCATACTGTCACAGGCGGTGAGCAGCTAAGCTGCGCCCTGGACCCAGGTCTATCTCCTGCAGGCTCCGGTCAGATCCTGCCTTTCCAGAATTCCTCCTTCAGCAGCTGTGTGTCTCCTTAGTATGCTCCTTTGAGAAGGCACGTTCCTGTCTTGGTATAGAATAAAGGGCAAGTAGGAGGCAAAAAGAAGTGCTTAGATCTTCCTTTCCTGTTGAAAGAAGTAAATGACATTCCCTTCAAAGAAAGGTCAGGGGATCCCAGGCTGGGAGGAGAAGCTGGACTTTGGGAGAATCAGTGCCAAAGGCAAGGGGACAACGTAAAGATCAGAAGCCCACCAAGGTGTGTCAGCAATTTGGGGGAAAGGAAAAGATCTCTGCTTCCAAAACTGGTCGCAAGCATCCAGACTGTGCCTTGTGTGCTGTAAGCTTGTCAGTTTGTGGGGTGCGAGCAAATCGAGGGTAGAGCTTGCGTCCAACTTTTTTGCTGGGAGCAGGGATGTCAGAGAGTCCAGATCAGAAGCCTGCTTGCCTTTTACTGCACCCTGGGGTGTGCACTCTCTCTTCCCTCTTCCACCTCACATTTCTGGGGCTATGGGGAAAGATTCTGTCATTGGCACCGCTCAGTGACAAACAGGATGTCTCGAGGAGGAGACCATAAAATGGGGAAAATGAGACCAGCAGAAAAGCACCTGAAGCAAAAATCTGTTTCGGGGGAAGTTTAAATTGCAGTAAACAAGAGGGGATGGTAGAAACTGGACCCAATTAATGTTTTTGGCTTGGGTCCTCCTCGGCTCTGGGACCAGGTGTGGCAAGTGGAAACAGCAAGCCTGGGCTTTACGGTGGGGCAGAAATGGCTTCTGTCATTCGCAGCCCCTCCCACAGGGGCTCCAAGTCCGCATTGTGACTCAGCGGCTTAGGTAATAAACGAGTGAGCCTCTCCCCCCAAGGGCTTTCTCCATCTTGAAGGAAGGTAATTCCTAGGCAATGCAAAGGAATGAGTCTCTAATCTCCAACAGGGGGAATGCCAAGGACCCTTGGCCCGGGAGGGCAGGAGGGACACCCGTTTTAGGTCGAGGATGGGCGGAGCAGTCCCGCGCAGATGCAGGTGCCCAGGGCAGCTGTGCCAGGTTCTGCTCTGTTCCTGGAGGCAGTCCTTTGTGGGCTGGCTAATTCCTTCCCCAAACATCTGCTTGCTGTCAAGTTAAGAAAGATACACCTGCTTTCCACTTTCTCAGGGATGTTGAGAGGATTCGTGGAGGGTTATCATGAAGGGAACAGGGAGATTCTGGAGACAGATATTGTTTAATTGATTAAGTTTTGTCTGTGAGTAAGCTCATATGTGGAGAGCTGACAATTGCCTGGGGCATCAGCCAAGGTTCTCGGCAGCAAAGGGCAGGCCCCAGGCATAGTCCGGTCTACCTTGCCACTCTGCAGCATGATGGACATGAACTCCAGCCATCTTCATGTTAGGCTGGTTACATGCAGTCTCGGGGAGAGGGGATGTGGCCCCTCAGGCTTCGTGTCCACTACCTCCCAAGACTCCCCAAAGAGAAGAAGGGCTATTAACAGGAAGAGAGGTTTGACAAACACTCAAATAGCAATGCGTGTCTATCACCCTTGCTTGATTTGCTCACTGCAGTGAGATTAGACTGGGTAATTCCGCTTGGCAGTAGGGTGTAGTTAGTTTTTCAGAGTTGTTGCTTCCACTGACGGCTCATTCAATTATGTGGCAGTCATAATCTATTTGTAAAACACTTTATAAGGGAATCTTGCATCCTCTATTTTCTTGGGCTTCTAAGAGTTCAGTGAAATACACCCAATTTGGATAAAGTTAAAGTTTAGGGACCTCCAAAATGGAATAGCTCACACAAGATACTTTATTTTATCCTCATGTAAACAGACTGGCTCAGCATGCAGCTCTCCCCACAATTATTCACGGACCTGGGTCCTCTCCATCTATCTATCTTTCTTTTTTCTTCTTGTCTCTTCTCTCTTCTTTTCTCTTCTCTCTCTTCTCTTCTCTTCTCTTCTCTTCTCTTCTCTTCTCTCTTCCTTCCTTCCCTCCTTCCTTCCTTCCTTCCTTCTTTCCTTCCTTCCTTCCTTCCTTCCTTCCTTCCTACCTTCCTTCCTTCCTTCCTTCCAAGTAAGTTCCATGCCCAACGTGGGGCTTGAACTCACGACCCCAAGATCAAGAGTTGCACGCTCCACCAACTGAGCCAGCCAGGCGCCCCTCCATCTTGTTTCTTCATCCAGTTTTGAGAGGGCACCTCATCTGTGTGGCGCCAAGTGGAAAGGGGAAAGTATATGACCCCTCCTGGTCTAGTCTCAAGATACCAGGCTGGGAATTGGACACATTGCTCCTGTCACACTTCACTGGAGAGAACTTTGTCACATCTTCTTTAGAGAAGGTGGTGAAAGGTAGGACAGCCTGTCAGCCCTGTGTCTTGCTACATGTCCATTACTATGGAAGAAGGGCAGAGTGAAAGCCAGCAGTGTATCATACCTACAGAGTGCCCGTATTAGTTCCTCTTTCTACAGAGGAGGAAAAAGATACCAGAGATAAATGAACTCATTCAAAGGCACACAGCCGGCAGGCTAGGGGAGGGCACCTCAGTTCTCTCTACCATCCCCCCAGAACAGTGGGGCAGATCATTTGAAATGAGCACTGCCCTGGAAGAGTGAGGATGTATAATTAACATCAGTATGTGGAGCCAACAGCCAACAGGGGTAAGTGCTAAATAGGACAGAATTGTGTTCACCTCCTCTTCCCTATGCTCAGGCACAAAGATAGAGGTCATGGGCCCCTGGGTGGCTCAGTGGGTTAAGCATCTCCCTTCAGCTCAGGTCATGATCCCGGGGTCCTGGGATCGAGTCCCACATTGGGCTCCCTGTTCTGCAGAAAGCCTGCTTCTCCCTCTGCCTCTCTCTCTGTCTTTCATGAATAAATAAATAAAATATTTTAATTAAAAAAAAAAAAAAAGACAGAGGCCATAACTGCTCTGCCTGCTGCAGTCTTAGCCCATGGAGAGTGGATGTGCCCAGACATATAGAATCCAAGACAGTGATCACACTCTTTCAACCAACCTTTCAGGTTACATATCTCTGCCACAAACGTGTGTCTGTGCCCATTCCAGTTCCCCCTGGCTTCTCTTATTCTAGACTTCCTTATGCTTTTGACTGCTTGCTTCCCCAGTATGATCAGTCCATGGAGAGTAAGGATTCCGTGGGCAAAAGAGATCCAGATTCAGATAATTATGTTTGGTCACCTCCTGCACTGGCATGCAAGCCACCACCCAGCCGCCTCCCTCCCATCAAGACTCCTACAGGAAATCAGTGATTTTGTGTGATGTGACTCAGATCTCTCCAAGCGTCACCAGCCTGTGGGCTCAAGCTTGGGGTTCCTTAAGATTCATCCCCAAATCCTGTTAATCCTTGGTATTGATAACTCATAAAAGTAATTCAGCTTCCTTGTAAAATTGCAGCCCCAAAGCCCTTCTGGGAGTCTTTGGGGGTGGGGGAAGGGGTGACATCTGTTCATGTTTCAGGCCCCCCTTCATGGACCTCTGCCCTGCAGAGTGAAGACACTCAGCCCCCTTTGCTCCAGTCTTCTGTGCCTCAACCCCTTGATGTGCCAAGAGTTGGGCCAGAGAAACATCTTTCCATGGGTTTCTTTCACTTGGGGAACAACTACAGAAGGGTTTCTTGGGCCCCAAAGTGTTGCTAAGCCCAATGAGATGGCTCTTTCAGTTATGCATACCTCCCAGAGTGTGCTGTGCCCCCAGGATGACCAGGCATGGATAAGTCCAAGAACCAAGGGCTGCATACACCCGCACGTGTGTTGGCTCTAGACATGGAAGCTCATTCACTATGTCCTCACACCTCACAATGAACTTTTGTGTCCTTCTCTGTAGTTTGGCTCCCTTAGAGTGTCCTTCTGCTCCCAGGTTGCCAGACAATTCAGTGTGTATCTGATGCCCAGGCACTGACATGATTTAAGCTCTTTTTCTAGGAGGAACCTTGGCTTCTAGAGCCCAGGGAGTAAGATGAGGTCACAAAACCTTACTCCAAGCTATATCCAAATCTCAACTCCAGTCTGTACAATGTCAGTGCCACCCCCACGGGTCTCCGGGCACAGCTCAGATGAATGCTTTCCTTTAATCTAATGCTTTATTAGTGTGTTAAGATGCATGACCTTTCAGTCATGGCTATTGCTGTATTTCTGGGCCCTATCCTCAGATACATTAAGAGAAAAAGGACATGTTTTTTGCATACACTATATGACTACAGAAATTACCAGGTAGCCAAGACACATGTCTTTATTGAAAATTATTGAATTGTTCTGTCAATCCCCAGAAAGACCACCAGAAAAAACCTTTCAATCATGCAAAGCTAAGTTTATAAAATTAAGGAGTGTACCATTTTGACAGTCCTGGTGGTATCTCAGAGGAGAGAAATCAGGGAAGGACATTTTTGGTAGTTTAGGGCCAAGGCCAGCTGATTTAGGGCAAG